CTCCTTTCCTTATCCATCCCTCTGTCTTGGCTCTCTTCTCTCTCCCAGTCCCTTCTCCTTTTCCTTTCCATCTCTCTGTACCTACTTCTCTCAACGTCCTTCTCTCTTCTCCTTTCCCTTTCCATCTCTCTTTCTCTGCTCCTCTCTCTATCCGTTTCCCTTCTTCTCTCCCTATCCATCATCTCCCTGTCTCTCCTCCTATCTTGCTCCCTCTCCCTTTTCAAATCCCTATCTGTCCCCCGCTCCCTACTCCTTGCTCTGCTGTAGCTGACACTGTTTTCCCTTTCCTCATCCCTCACCAAGTCTCTACTTCCATGTCGTTGATCCTGACTACCATCCTCATTCCATTCATGATGGTGTTGTCTTTTCAGAAGAGCCTCATCATCCATTATGCTCCCAGAATGAGATCTATCTTTAGCATGTTCAATTGATCTTGATCTACTCCTAGTGTAATCACAATATCTCTCACCCAGTGGTGAATGAGCTGATGTTCCATACCTTTCCCCAGAGCTTTCGGAAGACAGTGACTTTCTCAAATCACTCAATTTGCTGCCATCAGCCTCCTCAACAACCTCCAGGTGCTTACCACTTATTTTTGGAGGGGACCCAGACTCCAAAGACTGCATATCATCCCCCCCACGATGTTTATGAGTCTCATCCCTGTTAAGATGACCCCCAGAGCCAACTCTAGAGAATAATACCTCTTGAGGCTCTGGGCTAGAAATTCTAGGCAAACCAATGTTATCACAATTCTTATCAGTACTCTTGCCATGACTCTTGAATACAAGATCCTCCACAGGATGAGTACCTTTATGGACTCCCTGCAAAACCAGAGACAAAAGGTAAGCTTACAAACTCTTAAGGAATAACTCTGAGTCAAAATAATTTAGAGAAGAAAAAATATATATGCAGTAAACATGTTCAAGAAATGAAACCAATAAGACCAGCTCTTACAAATGAATAGTAAGCCATCACTCTCCACTGAAACGCCTAGGGGACACTGCATTCATTCATATTCCAGTGTAGTAGTGCAAGCAGGCACTTAGATATGTACGAGACACTCATGTAATCTATCTCAAGAACCAAAAATTCATTATCCAAATTCCAAATATATAAAAGTATTACATGACAACGTATGAACCGTTAGGTCACTGAGGAAAAGGTACAGAAGTTCCTCTCTCCAGGTGGGAGACAGACATAGAATCAAAATGCTAAAATTTTTAGAGTTTTCAAAATACGAACGCCCGGAAAATTTCCACTCGGAAACAATTTAGATTAACAAATCCCAAAAATGCAAAAAAAAAAGTTGAAATCCAGATTATAAGAAACAGAATTATTGACGAGAAAAGTGAGAATTCAAAAAGGTTCAAACCTCTTTTTAACCCCGATTTCTCAGCAACCAAACAGCACAGGAAGAAAAGAAAAAGAAAAAAAAACTGACAGAATGAACATCCGAAAGATAAAACTAATACGAATCAGAACAAGCAAGGGCAAACAGAACACACCGAATTGGAATCAGCAGACTGGTCACCAGATTCACCAGGCTTTGTATCGCGCATCAATTCCTCGTCAAGAATCTCTCCTTCCTCCACATCATCATCGTGCCGAGTACCATCGTCAGTAACAGGTATCGAAGCAGGTGGAGGAGGATCAATCTCATGAACACCATCTATAGTCTCCTCTCCGTTCTTCTTGCTTCGATGGCGATGATGGCGGTGTCGGTGGTGTCGATGCTTGTGTCGTTTGGAAGATTTCTCGGGTTCTTCATCGTCGGATGAGGACCGACGGTTCTTGCGGTGATGCGAATCTTGGTTATCGCTGGCCATTGGCGGTTAAATTGCAGGAGATTAGGGTTAGGGTTTGCTGTATTCTTCGAGTCTCCCAGGGGAGCGAAAGAATGGGGAGTGCCTGTGATTTTGGAGTGTAAACGGTGTGGAATTGCGCAGTATTTGGGGATTGCAGGCGGCACGTGCGACGGAGGCGAGGCGGCTACTACTGATTTCGTAAGCCGTATTTAACTGGTTTTTCACCTCGCCTTCAGCTGAAAATTTTTGAAGGCGGCTCAAGCAGTTTACCTTATGTTTAGATAAAAATTAGTAAAGGAAAGGGACGTGGGAAGAGAGGGAAAGAAAAGTGGGGAGAACGAAAGGGAAAGAAAGGGTTGAAATTAGTTTTATTTAAATAAGTGAAAGAGGAGGAGGAGTGAAGAGAATATTTTTATTTAATTAAATAATTTAATAAAAAAATAAAATAAGAATGAATAAAATTTTTAAATTTATTAATTAGATAAATAATTAAAATAAAATGTTTGTATATATTTATTTTTAAAATTTTTAAAATAAATTAAATTAAATAATATAATTGATTTTAATTCTTTTAAATTGAAAAAATTAAAAATATACAAAGGAAGAGATTTTATATCTCTCCATCTCCCTCCTTCTTTTTTAAAATTTTTTATTTAAATAAAAGAAAGTGCTCTCTCATCCTTACTCTCCTCTTATTCTTTCCTTACTCTCCTCTTATTTCTCTCCAACTTTCTCAATAGAGTGTTAAGCTCATCTTTTTCTTTCTTTTTTTTGTGTATATGTATGTGCACACTGACTATTGACTGCTGACAACTAACCTTAAGCTTATTTAATTTTGCTCAAGCAAAATTGTTAATGTCTTGAATTATTTTATGATTATTAGAAATAAGTTAAGAGGTAATTATTTTTTATATTTAATAGTATTAAAAATAAAAATTGATTTTTATATAATTACTTAATTAAAATAATTTATGTGTAAAATTAATGATAATTTTTTTTAATATTAATGAATATTAAAAATTTACAATAATTATATCTCTTGAGATATAAATTGAAAAATATTTAAAATTATGAGAAAAGTAAATATCAACTCTAACGCTTAAAATAAATTAGAATTTTAATTTTAAGTTACCTTATTTTATTTAATTAAAATTCAATTTAAAATTTAAAATTTTGTTGTATTAAATATTGATATTTAGATTTAAAAATTAATTATATTAGAATAGATAATCGATTTTTAAATTTAAGTATCGACATTTAATATTATGTATTTTTAATTTTTAAATTTTAATTTTAATTTCTAAATATAGATTAATATTTTAATTTTTTTTAGAATCGATGTTGATACATACTAATTTCTAAGTTTATTTACCATATTGGAGTATTTATTTTGAATATTTATTAAAGGATTTTCTAATTTGTAAATATTAAAAGTGTAAGAAACAAAATATTTTATTATAAATTTACATTGAAAAAATAAAATGTAAATATTAATTTTTAATTTATTAATTATCTAATTAAATTTTTTTATTTAACACTAACACTAAAATTATTATCAATTTTTATATTATTTTATATGTATTTATAACAAATATATATATCTAAACTGTTGGCACAGTTTAAAACAATTTTTTATTAATTTTAAAAAAAAATAAGTTTGGATAGTTTAACTATGTTAGGGGAGAAATATGATAGTATGACTACTAGGTACTTCACCAGCATATTTTAATTTTGGGTTACAAAATATGAGTTAATCCACAATTATTTCTATTTTTTAGTCCCTTCATCCACGATATTACATGTAATTTAAACACAATATCTCTTGCATTGTTAGAAAAAAAATACTTTAGCACTTAAGTCAATTAGTACCAACATAGGTTATTTAAGTTCCTTAATGGTCTCAGTAGATAAATTTAAATGAATTAAAGTATAAAATAAAATAAAAACCAACAACAACAATCATACGGAACATAATCATAAATTAAATAATATAATTTAAAATATATTGACAAAATGGAAATTTTGAAGTCCAAATTCCCTCTTCACAAAATCTTAATTATTGTGATTAAATCATTTTCCTAAATAAATTACCACGATTCACTTCCTCTTATTGACAATAATATACATAATTTGATTTTTTAACTTTTAAGACAAAATACTTTGATAAGAATTTAACAATATAAATAATATTAATTGAAAAAAGTTCTTATTCAATAGTTTTATTTAATAAAAAAAATTTCAATTGCCCATAAGTTAAATTTTGAACTAAACTTCTTTTTTTTTTTTTTCCTTAATAATCAACAAATTAAACTAAGCCTACTATTATTGAATAGAGAGAGTATGTTTCTTTTCCATCAAGAATTAGTGCAACTAGATTATATTTGAACACGTGATGTGGGTAAGTTGGAATGATGTTTCTTTAAAAGTAAAAACTCACTTGTTGAAGTTCATCATATCCATTAATAATCACAGTATCCATCCTCCTATTGTCCCCTAACTTGTGTTTACAAGGAGCAGATATTGCGCACCCATCATTTGCAAGTTTCTATCTATTTAGTACTCTCCATTTCCCCATTGCTGCTAACACCAAAGTCATGAATTTCCAGTATCTCAACTCTTCGGTTCATCCATTTCTGGATCTTTATTGCAAAGTCTGATGGTTTAAATCTCCCACATACGCTTAGCCTGCATTGCTGCTTCTCAATCATATACGTCTCTACTTCTTCAATAACAATAATGAACAAATTAAGGTTAACAAGATAAAAGTTTGAGTGATTATATTAATGGAATGCTTTTTAGTACCTTTCATATTAAGAAGGATTTTTCTTAATTTCCTGCAACAACCATTGCAGTCTATGTTGAGTCTCATCACCATGCAACAAAACATGCTGTTGTACAAAGAAAAACAAAGCTAGGTTAATGCAGATTGGGAATTCATAAGGAGAGAAATGATGATAAAGAAACTGTTGTGTTATTACCCTTGATGACATTGGATTGGGAATTTGGGGTACTGAAATTTGATTTGATGGCTTTCAAAAAGTTTGTGGGAAAGGAAATGCATGCCTGAAAAGGATGGATGTAGGACAGGCATTTAGGAGTATCTCATGGAAATGGTAGCTCCTCTGCCTAGTTTTGGAATCTGATTATGCTTATATAAGGAAACAGGGCAGGGGTAGCCGTTATCCTTTACTTCATGATCAAGTTCTTCTTACCTCGTTTCTCTGTTTCTTATTTACAAAGGTTTCTGTTGCATGAAATTTAAGGTAACCTTGTTTTGCCCTGAAGATAAGAAAAATCAGAAACTGATGTGCTTGAAATTAAAAGATAACACAAAACATCCTCTCTTTATGTACAATCTTATCCAAGCAAACATGACCAAAATGAAAGTTAACAACAAAAATTATTGATCCTGTACAATGAAGTGTATACATGACCGATCCAGGATAGAACTTTGTCAAATTTACTGACGTGAGATTCAACTGCCCAGAGGGCAAAAAATATTCTTGATCATGGCAATTTTGCTGAAAGGCTTCCTGTATCGAGCAGCAGCTTGCTTAGAGGGTACTTTAACAACACCAGGATATTTACAAGTGATGGTCACCTCCTTCTCCAACACATTAACCAACACAGACTCTGTTTCTGCCAAGAAACTACAAAATTAGTAGTGAATCTAAACCATACAGCTTTTATTGACAGGGAATGATGCTTCTAATTGCATTGAATTTCATCAGAGCTACTGTTAAAGGAATGGAAAACGTAAAACAATGCGCCCCCC